TTACTAGATAAAATAACTAGAAATACTGAATTCAATTAATTGATTGATGTACTCAATTTTGTACTCCATTGAGGTACTTGACATCAATCAATAATAAAGCTCAATGATTTAGTTAAGACTATGTTCTTAAATTAATGGAAAAATAAAATTTTGCAACTAAATAACTAAAGGTAAAACAAAGAAGAGAGTAATTAATTGAAAAGAGTATTTTTAAAGTTATTACCAGCAATGCCTTGCTCCTCAAAACGCTGTTATCTGGAATAAACCTCCTCAATCCCATACCACCCAACCAAGGATGGGGTCCTGGTCACTTCATATAAATGTCACACTCAACATACACATCTAGGACGCTTTTCTTGGAGGAGATGCTCTAAAGCCTTCAGTAAGACATTACTTATGGTTATTTTATACATCTCAAGTCCTGACATGACCTTGTAGGATACACACTGGACTGCTAACCATGAGGTTGGTACTTCCAACCCATCAGTCAGTCTTTGGAAACCTTCTACAAGGTTGGTATCAGTTGGAACAGACTCGACAGCACTTCACAACAACAGCACATCAGACATTAAGAGTGGCTTTCCTAGACTGTAAGAGGTGAGCCAAGAGACAGACAGAGTGTAAATGACAGGATCTTAACAAAAAAAGGGAAAACTGAAGGAGCAATACATAAATGGAACTCAAAAATAAGAGTTTAGAGCTATTTAACAGATTTTGAAAATATCTCTCATATCTTATAGCCTGGGATTTTCATTACAATTGTCATATAAAAAAAGAATCCAAAGTCATCTGGAAAATAGTACATCAAAATTAGAATGGGAATTTTTATAACATAACAGCAAAATAAATGCAAAATTCAAAAAAGGTTGACAAAAATAATAAAGAATTCCTACAAATTAATAGAATAGTTAAAGGATAGGAAAAAGTGATTCACAAAGACAAAAAGAAAGGGAAATGATACATAAATATCACTTTTTCATTTACAAAAAGACCAATTTTACCCCCTAATTTTAATATTAAATGTTGGCAAAAATAGAGATATGAAGCATGGACCTTTCCTGGAAGTAGCCATGTAAACTAGCACTTCTATCCTGCAAGGTAATTTGGCACTATGGGTAAAATCCTTACAAACATCAATACCCAACATTTACTTCCAGGAACTTATTCCTGAAAATCAAACACAGGAGGGAGTTCCAAAAAGTTTCAGGAAAAAAATCGAATTGAAAGACAATGGAATTTTCCCATGAATTTTTAAAGCTCCCTTGTATAGAAGGGAAAGTCAAAAAGTCTTGCTATAAAACCATAAAAAAGTTCTATCAAAATATCAAAATGTAAAGCTATTGTTTTCCGACATATTCTGAAGGCAAATATTTCCATGTTTTTAACCACGCCCTAAAGAATTCTGCAAACTTTAATTTATACCATATCAAAATGGCAGCTTGGGCATCCTCAAGGAACTCAAATTATGTCCCTTTTAAATGTTTTTTGAGTTTGGGAAACAAAAAGATGTCTGAGGGGCAAGATCAGATCTTTATTTTAGGTAGATTGGTTAAGGTTTCACAATGAATTTCTCATGAGATAGCCCTTTCTATCCTCCAAAAATGAGTAGGTACACTATAGTAATGGGGGGGGGGGGTTTTTTTTTTTCAGTTTTCTTAAAACTTCTTAATAAGCCCCATTATCATCTTCTGTCCCGTGAAAATCTACCAAGATGACCCCCTTAGAGTCCTCAGAAATAGTCTCTGTAATATTCTGAGCTGAATTTTCTGCCTTGAATTGAACTGATCTAGCATGTCCCTTTGGAAGTCACTGTTTGGTGTGGCACTGTGAGTTAATACACTGGACTGCAAAGTCAGCCTGAACCACAAGGTCAGCAGTACAAGCTCACTAGCTGCTCCACAGAAACCCTATACAGGGTCACTATAGGCTGGAACCAACTCGACAGCACATAACAACAAGAGTATGACAAGAGAACTTGTCTGCAGTCATCCACTGATCACAGAGACATGTTTAGACAGGTTTTGTTTGGAATAAATCTATGTATATATGAAACGAAACCCAAATAAATACTTTTTGACTTACCCTTATATAAGACTAAAGGGATTGACCAGGAAGCTAGAAAACATGAAGAGCTATAGAACAGAAGTCAAGGAACAAGAATGGTTCACGAAAATGGGAGTTCTCAGATGTATCAAATGCTCCAGAGAGGTTGTCTAAGACAGAGACAAGCATGTCTCTATTGATTAAACAAGAGGACCCTATTAGTGACCTTGAAAAATAACTTTAGTGGAGACAGGCCAGAAGTCAAACTGCAAATGACTAAATAGGAGTGAAATTCTGAGATAACAAGGTTTAGAAGTTTTCAAGAAATTTATCTATAAAGTGGGGAAAGGGTGGTAGCTAAAAGGGAATTTGACGACAAGAGAAAGTGTGTCTATATGAATAAACTTATTGAAGACAATGGATAACAAATGAACAAGACTGCTGAGAAAATGGAATGTAATTAGATCTTGAAGTTGCTATCAGTTGCTGTTGAGTCTACCTGGACTCAAGACAACTCCTTTTGTGTAGAGTAGAACTGCTGCATAGGGTATTCAAGGCTGTGTCCTTTTTAAAGCAAATTGTCTGGCATCTCTGGGTGAGTTTGATCTGTCAGACTTCCAGGTAATAGTCAAGAGCTTAACCTTTACCACCCACGGACTGTAAAGTAGATGCCAAGAAGAAATGAATGCATCAAGGAACAACCTTGTTTCCTCAGTGCACTGTATTGATAGGGATGAGAAATTTAGACACTGGCTATCAAAAATGGGGGTAGGTTGGGGCTATAAAAGCATGAAGTGACTGGCTTACGAGCTTAAGTGAGTGTACTTAGTTTCAGAATGAGGTGGATAAGACAGAATCCCCACCCAATAGTTGCTCTCTTTTCTATATGGATCTGGTGAAAGGACATGGGAGATGACAGAGACAGGATTTTAGGACTCAACTGTTAAAAATTATTAGTGGGATTAATTGCAATCGTCACTGCTGCAATTATAGAAGACATACAACTAACAGGGGGGATTAGTTTGTATTCCATTTCAGGAACAGACAATCGGAGGACTATCAAGAAGGAAGAGCATGAACAGACCATGAGATCCCTACCTAGAAAAGTGGCAACAACAGAGACAGCAACATGGAAAGACAGAGCAGTTGTGGACTCTAAGCCCATGGACTATGATAGGCTGTGTGCCTGCAAACTGGAAGCTGGCTGGCAGAATATGCCCTTTGGACCTATAAATAAACATATATTTTTGCTTTGTAAGTGTACATCAAATAATTGTACCTTGTTCATTTGTGAAATATAGGATATAAATGAGGATCCACAGGGAGGAAGCAGAATAAATGTTGCAGGGAAAGAATTATAATCTTTGAGATGAAACAAAATTTGCTGAATATAAAGCTGATGATCTTGTCTGTAAATCTTCACCCAACTCACAATAAAAAGTTTTTAAAAAGAAAAAGAAAAAGAAATGAATGGCTATGAGATTTAAGGAGAGAGCTTAAAATAGCTACAACAGAGACCAAGAGAATGCACTTAGGATTTTCTGAATCTTTTCCATTTTCAACAATAAACATACATTATTGTAATAGGAATGGGGAAATTTTTAAAGGCAAGTATCCTTAAATTCCATTCTGGAATGGATACTTGTCTTTAAAATAAAATGACTTTCCAATTATGGTCTAGGATCTCAGTTTACTGCTAAGGAAGTTTCTTGAATTCTTAAATTCTTTGGTTTAGTTTTGTCACCTGCAAATAGTCTCTAAGTGGTACAAACAATTAATGTGCTTTGGCTGCTAGCCAAAAGGTTGGAGATTCAAGTCTACCCAAAGATGCCTTGGAAAAAAGGCATGGCAATCTACTTCCAAATCAGCAACCAGTGAAACTCGATGGAGCACAGCTGTCCTCTGACACACATGGTAACCGGTTGCTGTTGCTGTTAGATGACTCAAATACACAACAGAATGAAACACTGTTCAGTCCTGTGCCCACCTTGTCGTTGCTATGCTTGAGCCCATGGCTGCGACCACTGTGTCAATCCATCTCATTGAGGTTCTTCCTATTCTTCACCGACACTCTACTTTACCATGCATGGTAACTGGTAGTGGTAGTAAATACAAAAGCTACTGAATTACATGATGATAAAAATATATTAAAGTACCCAGAACACTCAATACATTCCATTCCTTTCAGTGTACTTTGTGTTGCTCTGTAGTGCTGTCAAGTCGCAGTAACCCTGTATAGGGTTTCTAAGGAGCAGCTGGTGGGTTTGAACCACTGTGCTTGTAATTAGCAGTGTAGTGCTTATCCTGGAGCGCCACACCAAGTGTCCATATATTTGGTAGTAGAGGTTATAGTGCTAACTTTGCAGAAAGTTACAGAGATGACGAAGAGGCAACATTTATGCTGTGCGAAAAATAAATACTTATTTGCTAAGATAATCATTCAATTTTTTTTCTAATTTTACATGAATCAATCCAGGGTTTCAATGATCATTTGGTCTCAATTTCTTGTGAAAGATAAAAGTCAACAATTTCTTGAAAGTAATTTTTTCACTTTCTTAAATTTTTAAAATCTCACTTTTAACGCCTATGAAAACTTACAAGTATAAATTTTAAATTGAACTTTTTAACCCTGACATGGAAGAATTTTAAAAGTTTACCCATGTAATAAAATCTCAAAGGACTATGCCACTTCAAAATAAAGTCCAATTAAAAAAAAAAGAAAAAGAAAACCCAGAGATAGAGAAGCTAAAAAACACAGTATAAACAGCTTTCTCGTCCTTTGTACTATTACTGTACACCAGTTTTTGCCTTAAACTTATAAAGGCAAAAACAAGTCAGTAAGATGACCCTGAAACAAAGGAAGATCACAACTGAAAGGTATTTTGGAGTCCACAAAAAGTATACAACGTGAACAATCATGAGCTGACCATACATAAACAAAGATTCTTGAAACTCACCATCTCTATTGGTTTCCCATTCTACATTCTCTTCTTCACTCTCTGGAGTTCTCTCCTTGGTGATTTTTATGTCTTCCTTTTCCCTATGTCTCCCTCTTGAAGATTCTTTCTAAAAAAGATACACATACATAAAAATTAACACATTTTTAAAAACTTATTAACAACAACAACAGTTCCTATAATATAGAATATTTTTAACTTTTTTCATTTCCATTTCATGATCACAGAGGAAAAACTACTTGAGCAACAAAACAACTGGGTAAAATGGAAGAAATGGGTAAGATTTAAAAATATACAATGTAAATTTAATGCTTTAATAAATTAACATTTAGTATATCAGTTTTATGGAAAACCAGTGGAAAAAGAGTTTTAAAATGGATAAAGTACAATAAAAAGATTTGTAAATAACCATATTAAAAGTAACTAAAATCAGGGGACATCATGGTCAACTGGCATAACATAGACCACAAAGACAATGTTCTAAATCCTACTTTGGTGAGTAGTGACTTGGATCTTAAAAACTCATGAGTAGCCTTCAAAGATGCTATTATTATTGGTCTCTCCACATGCAGAAGAAACAAGAGTGTTGAGAATCAAAGAGGCTTGGAATCAATTAGTCCAACAAACTAATGGACCACGTGGACAACAGTGACCATGGATCTGAGGCCAGAAGAACTAGATCGTGCCCAGCACCACTAACAAATGCTCTGAAAGGGATCACATTTAGAAGGTCCTAGATAGAGTGGCAGAACATGTGATACAAAACTCAAAATTACTAAAAAGAAAATAAACAAAAAAGGCCAGGCTTACTGGTCAGGAAGAGACTAAATGAGCCTGAGACTGTGGACTTTGACCACTCGGCAATACTAGAAAGGAACTTATGCTCCTCGTGGTTAAATTTTCAGCAAAGTAGTAGATAGACATATAGGGGGGACTATATCCTAATCCTGGTAAAATACTGTGGGATAAAGCACTGGACCACAAGGTCAGTTTGAACCACAAACTCGCCAGCTTCTCCTCAGAAACCCTATACAGGGTTGCTATGAGTCGAAACCGACTTGATGGCACTTAACAACTATAACACTAGTAAGGTATGCTCATCCTGGAACGATAAGTCATTCAAAATAAAAACAGCAACATTTAGCTAATGACAAATTGGAGAAGGGGTGGGAAAGTGGGTGGAACGGAAATGGGAAGCACAGGGAGGAAGCCAGAGAACTGTTGTTGAATGAATGGGATGGCAGTCATTGAGAAGAAACAAAGTGTATGATTTGTTGAATGTTAAACTGATGATCTTGTGGATAAACCTTCCCTCAATTCACAAGTTAAAAAAAAAAACGGTAAAAAGGGGTTAAACTTCACAGTGGACTCTGAAGAATACTTTCTAAAACTGTTAGTTCAAAACCTAAAATAACAGCACTTTCCTATAGCCCCATAAGGATAAATTCAAACTCATTTCAGAATTTTATAAATGTTTTAAAAAGAGAGCTTCCTTATTTTGATGAAATCAACATGATAGATAAAATAGTAAATGAATCCTTAATATTGCAGCTTTAAAAACAGGTTTTACATTGCTACACAAAAGGTCAGTGGTTCAAATCCACCAGTCACATCAAAGGAAAAAGATGTGGTAATCAGCTTCCCTAAAGGTTAACTTTAAAAAACAAACAAGCAAACATTGTTGTGAAGTCAAATCCTACTCATTGTTGTGAAATCGAAATGCCCCAAAGGTTTCCATGGCTGCAGACTGCCACACCTCTACGCCACAAAGTGGTTGGTGAATTAGAACCAGCAACCTTTCCCTTACCAGTCAAATGCTTCAACCTGGGCTCCTGCCCTAAGATTTTTGTTGTTGTTAAGTGCTTTTGAGTAGGTTCTGACTCACAGAGAGCCTGTCCGTGGTTTCCGAGGAGTGGCTGCTAAATTTGCCCGACCAACCTTGTGGTTTAACAGTCCAATGCTTATTCTATAGTGCCACACCAGAACTTCCTAAGGGTTTCAGTCTTGGAAAGTCTATGAAGCAATTCTACCCTGTCCCATAGGGTTGCTAACAGCTACAATCTATTAAACAGCGATGCATCTGGTTTGGTTTTTGCTTTCTTTAAATAAAAGTAGTCCATAAGCAAAATGGGATAAGTGGTGATTCTGTAGAATAAATGCAAGACTGCTAACCACAAGGTTGGTGGTTCACGCCCACCAGCTGCTCCCAGGAAGAGAGACGTGGCTTTTTGATCCCACAAAAGCGTATAACCTTGGGAACCCTATATTGAGGGTTGCTGTAAATCAGAACTGACTCTAGGAACTTAACAACGTTAAGTAACAACATAAACAAAATAGGTTAACAGTAATTCAGCTGATAAAATTTCATTAAATACCCTACTATATAAAATACTGCATACTACATTTTTTTTTACGTTTTTATTGTAAATTAAGTGATAGCTTACATGGGAGAACGTTAGCTTTACATTCATCCTATCATAATTTGTTTCATTGCAATAATTACAATCCCCTCATGCATCATCAAACAACCAAGGGGTATTCCCCCGCACACCTGCTCTCCGGCTGTCAGCACAAAGAATTTCTCCATCCCTGAGTCCAGAGTCCCCAGCTGCTCCATCTTTCCACATCATCATCTCTACCTCCTTCTCTTGTCACCGCTTCTCTGGATAGGGTCCCGCACTCCACTCTTCTCCCTTAATGGTCCCAGGGACCTCTGTTCCTGGACTGCCAAATCAACCACTCCCCTCCTTTTGTTACAAAATGTCTACCTTTACTTTTCCAACACTCACAGTCAGTCCTGATAGCAATCATTCACTATTGAACCACAAGTCTTATCCCCATCAAATTTCATCAGCCCCATCTAGACAGGTTAGAAACCACTCAATGGAGATTCTACCTTCCCACGCACCCTCTGGAACTAGGCTCCCTCTTAAAACCTTGTAAGTCAGTCACTTCTTGCCTTTGTAGACCCTCTCCCCCATTTTGGGTAGCGCCAATGTCTAAGTTGCCCATCCCCTGTTCAGAGACAGTGGTAAAGATCCTCACTGTAAAGATTTGTTCCCTCTTTTGAGCTACTACATCCATAAGTATCCATAAGTCAAGTTCATCAAATTGTAGCGCATTACATTTTT